AAGTAACATCTAAATTGAATCTTTTTTTGTTACCTGAAAATTTGGATAAATAAGAGCCAAATAAAATTATATCATAACATAACATGACATTACATAACATTAACAGTCTATACGACCTAAAATAGTTTTCTAGGTTCATGAGAAGATGGAGACTTTTGAAAGTTTATAAATATGTATGGTAGCGTCTTTTACAAGCAGAGTTAACCTTTGATGTTTTTTTTTTTTTTAGATTTTGCGCTGTGTTATTAGTGGACATGAAACTACTTTAAATACTGGTACGTTACCCACCAAAAACTAAAAATCTAAAAAAATTTACATAGCGCACTTTGCAAGTGGACTACTCATATGTAAATTGCAAACTCAATTTTTAGCTTTCATTTTTTCACTACTCTTTCCACTATCAGTGTCAATTTTAATATCTAAAAGCCTTTAGCCTTTTTTCACGCAACCGTGTTTTTAACCGGCTAAGGGTTGCAAAACTTCTTTCTGAAGTAGCGTTACATTTTATCGCAATTTTCCATGACTTTGCACAAAATTTCCGGTGATAGCTGTTCGCTTTCCTGCCGAGTATTACCCTTAAGGGCTGCGATTGTCTGGGCTTGTTGGCATAAACCCGCGACTTCAATTAGCTCCAAAGAAAGGGGGTTTATGGAAAATCATTCGCAACAACCAAGAATATCATTTTTTATTTAGAGTATTCAGCATATCTTATCTTATATACATATATAATACGTGAAGGGATTTTTGTTCTGGATAAAAGATCTGTACCGTTCGCCCGATTTTCAAAAATCGGATGTTAAATTATAGCGCTTGGTCTGTAGATGTGCAAACTGGTTTTAGTTTTTAGTTGCCACCTTTTAAAAAGTTAAGTTCAAATTATTTAATAATCAAGGCCATCAAATCCGCACCGTATTCCATGCATTTGCTCAACTTCAGGGCCTTTCAAGCACGTGTTTCCGTTATCCGATTTTAAAAATTTTTCGCTGGTCACGTTTTTATGATCAAATGAACCTTTCTGGCGCAGTCTTGCTTTGTAATATATGTAAAATAAGGTGCAGTCTACTGCACATGCATGATGATATTCATTGAATTATTTTGCGAAACTATAACTTAATCGAGGAGCGAAGGGTGTTATAGACCACATAAGGAATTTCTGAAGAAAAAAAAACGGAAATTTGCATTTTCGCTATTCTTTTAATGGATAACACAGCCCAAGAAAATATAAAAAACTTTTAGTACGGAAAATGTTAAAGCTGTTTTTGATAAATCTGTTTTGTGCTGATTACGTAAGCATAAAGTTTCCCTCAGCTCCAGATTTTGAAAAAAACTAGGTGAAAGTGTCAAAAAATCGCGGTGTTTGCAAAATTTTAGGAGCTCTAGCAAAGGAACAAAATGTGATAGAACCTTCCTGGCTAAAATTAAACGTAGATCTCTCGACTACTAAGTATCTCTGAAAAGAGATCTCAAATATTTGATATCTTAAAATATTTTTACCATTATTATCTGAAACTAAATGATGGCAAATTTGTATGCATATTTCCCTCCACATGGGAGTTGAAAAGGTCTTCAGTTGCCAATTAATCCAAATTCAATGGTGGTAGCTTGATGTTAAAACAAACTAAGTATTTCATGTAGATGAACAACAATTTAACTACCGTTGGCTGAAGAAAACATTGGGGCATACCCAAAATAAGATCGACACTGAAGTTATTAGCAGCTTTTTGACATACATAATTTTCAATTGAATATCTGAGTTATGAATATGTTCCATTGTTTCTGCAAACTGCGCGAACTTTAAAACAAACACACCAGTAATGAAATGCATTAACGTTCGTAATACTAATAGAAACATCAATGAGCTAATTTTGATGATTCGTTAAACCGAAAATTCGTTATTCCGAAAGTTAATCATGCTGGACAACCACTGTACATAAGTACATATGTAGATATGTCAATATTTATGTATGTACCTATGTGTGTATGTATACGTACTACATTGTATACATTGTATACATATGTATCTACAAACTAACTGCCTTTGACATGCTCACCCGATTCGAGAAACAACAGTTCCCTGTTCTCAGATAGGAAAAAGCAATAAATAAGAACAAATATGTATGTACATATGTACATGTGCAACTGCCCAGTCGGAAAAGTAGTGATGCATTACCTGTGATAAATAATATAATGTTTTTCTTATGCGTTCTCGATAATATTACTGCTAACTATGTAATCCGTATTCTAATGTATTCAAAAAGTTCAACAAATTTCATATTAAAACACATTCATTTCTTGATACTAGGTAATGCAAAATTGAATGCCCCACTTTTCTTAGGACATCGCCCTGTGAAAAAAATGCATTTTCGAATGTGAAAAGGGTTGTTTAACTGATTATTTTTTCGATTACTATATATATTACATTTTCCCACTGGGTCCTAAAACATGCATCTGTAAGAACATATCTACATACATACATATATACAGACTGCATATTGAAGTGCACGTGCAAGGTGGGTTGCCTTCACCTAAAATCACCAAAGCGTGCAGGTAAAATTGCAAAAAATTAACAGCAGCAGCTAAACAACGATTGGGAACAAGAAAAGTAGTACAAGTACAAACTGCCATATGTATGTATATTTTTATGTAGAAATAAGGGACAAATGAATTTACATACATACATACATATGCATTTAGGTTGATTTCGTTCGGTCTTGCAACAGAGGATGCTGGCAGGAAGCGTGACGGTGGAAAATGAAATGAGGAAAATGCAGAAAAAATACTTAGGGAAAAGTGTAAACTTCAAAAGAGCGTTGAAACTGCATAAAAATACTCGAACAAGCAAATAAAGTTGGTTTGGAACGCTGTTCGCGAGGGTTGCATCATGGTGTTGCTACGTCGTAGTTAACGCCATTGCTGCTGGTGTAAAACAGCGCGATGTTCGTATGTATGTGCGGACAAAAATCCATGAAATTTGCGAAGGTTCCAGAGCGTACATTTAAGCGTAACTACCCAATTTGCCAAACGACTTCGCATCGAAGTCGATTCCGACTCGTTCTGGTGAACGATTTGTTCGTCGGCGACCATCGCCACACAGTGTGTAAGACTCACCTTTATTCCAAAATGGTATATGGCTAAATGTTCACAAAATATCGAAGCACCTACTACAGAGAAATTTCGAAAATGGTGGAGTAAAATGGAAGAGTAATTTTTGTTGGAAAAAGTACATTTGTTACTTCTTCGCGCTGAAACGGTTGAACGGATTTTAGCAAAAATTTTACAAACAGACAGCTTATAACCTGTGATTGGATATGGAATATTTTTTGTTTAAAAGGGGTGCCATCCTCGGTGTCAACGGAGAGAGGTGTGAGAAGTATTACTTTCGAAAATATTTCTGAAGATGTCTGCCGCGTGTTTAGTTTGTAAAAGTCGGTTTAATTAATAAGTTTCGGGAGTTATTACAATCAGAGTATCTAATACGTTTACACACACTTATTTGGAAATATTTTATAAAAGAAATTTACGTACTTTTTTCGTGACAATGGAAAACATAATGTTCGATGCTCTCCGCCTCCACCTCGTTTATGTAACCGCAACAAAATAAAATCGTGCGGTGTCCTAACCTTTTGCCGTGAGTACCCATCAGGCAATGTCAGGTTATTACCCCGATTACTAATCTGAGAGCAGAGCGGTCCTTTCGAATGAAGCTATGGATCGCTTTACATCAATCCTTGACCAATTTTGCCTGGTTGTATGGCAGGTGGTTTCCACAGCCCACATGTTATTTATCTCCCCGATGAGTTCGATGAGTTGCCAGGAATATTTCTGTGTCCAGAGACCCATACAACAGTCAAGGAGCATTTTTATTCCAGCAGGTTGAGAGTCTTCCTGCATTCTATGACTGCTTTGGACGTTGTTCCGTTAGATTTCAGAGATTTGATAGCAGCCTGGCTGTCAGCATACATAGCCATAGGCCGTCCGGGAGAGGCGGAGGCTATGAGCCTCCGAAGAGCCTCCATTAGATCTGCTTGAAAAGCGGTACAATGGTCCGGTAAACGAAAACTGAGGTTTAGCGCGAGTTCGTCAGAGTAAATTCCGCTACCCACTCTTTCGATAAGTTTGAGGCCATCTGTATATATAGCCGTCGACCGTGGGCTTAGGTCTGTTTGCCCCTTCCAATTCGTTCCTCTCTGGGATTCTTATGGAGAATTTTTTGTCTCAACAGAGTATAGGAGTAACAGTAGTAGAATATCCGGTAGAGGTCTCTTTACGACTGGATCGTATGTAACCCGGCTGCAAAGATACCACCAAACTTACCGTAAATGAAAAGCGGCAACAATTTTTACTAAATTTTATTCAAAAGTTTTGTTATAAAATTGTGTGTTTTTTTTTAATATTTTGATATCTCGTTTGTAGCAGCGTCATGAAGCTGGAAAATTAAATAAAAAGTTTAAAATCAAAAACTGCTTTGCTTTCAGCTCTAAAACGTTTCTCAAGAAAAAGCTTGCTGTATGAACACTCTCATATAGTTACAGCAATTTGGAAGCTTCACTCAGCTCGGAACGGCTTCGCTCGGCACGTATCCGCTTTCTGTGTGAACGTACCCTTAGAATCGAAATTTGAACAATCAAAATGTCTTTTTTATTTGAAAGAGAGATGCTCAATAAGTTTATAATTGTAGTTCTCATTTGCATACTAACAATAAATCATAAATTTTGTTTCACACCAACTCAATATTGAACAGTAAAATATATTTTAATTTTGCCCAAATAAACAACGATTTAGTTAAATGGTCAAAGACATATGGGGGATTCACAAGACGTGTAAAACGTCGTAATGGCTAAAGTTTTAAAATTTTTAAACGTAAAATAACGGCTAATACCTTTTTAGGCGTTTTGTAACTTAAATTTATTTAATCAAAAGTTGTTTACCGAAACAACCTTCTATTTTGTATCAAAGTTATGTACTGCGGTATAAATATGTATACAAGTTTTAAATATTTATTTTTACACAGAAACGTCCTCAAGCTCAAAAAAATTGTTGAATAAACTCCAACTTTCAAACTTTGTGCGGAGACAAAAACTTCCTGGAGACAACGGCTTCGTTTTGACGTCGTTTCGAGTTCATCGAGACGAGCTCACCAGACCGGAGTCGAAACGTGTTCGATTCGTCCTCGTTCTGTGGCAAATTGGGTACGCGACAACCTCAAGAGTTTATCTTCCCCACCCTGCTGCATTTGAATTGCTTTTACTTTTCGCCTCGTTATTTCTCTTCAGCAAGTTGCCAACAACGGTTATTCCCAAGGTAAAAATGCATGCGAAATGCCGCAACACGCCATGGCCAACGGTCATATCCAGAACAAAACTACAGCGCTTTATAAAGGGGAATAAATATAAATTGTGTGCAGCAAGTTTGCCAATAGTACTACGTGCCTAGCGTGGTTTTGCGCGTATTTGCTGAATTTCTATTTATGTACATACATATTCGCTGGCCTCCATCCGCATCCCTGCCCACAACCTTTAGAGTGGGACTCTCTTCAGTTTTTCCTTTCAACCCTCGACACGCTCAACGCCCCTTCAATTTGCCTTCGCAACATATTGCAGTACCTGACCGTAGTGCAAGTGCAACGGTATTTACCACATTGACGACGCAGGCGGCTGCGCATTGCGCCCTCGCGTTTAACGAAGCGAGTTTTTTACTCCCCTTCCTCTCCTTTGAACACAGCTTACATACTTATGTATGCACGCGTACATGAGTATGTACATATACGCCACCACAGTGCCGCTCAGTTATTTGCAAGTTCGTAGTCACCTATTTTTTAGTTGCTGCAGGCCTTCCCCGCGGGTGTACCTACCCCTGCCATGCGCGTCGCTGCTACATATTTACCTGTCTTATTTGCTTTACTCACGTTGTGTTGTCTCCCCTCTTATCATTACCTCAGGGGACCGTATGTTTTTAATTTTCTTTTTTTAAATATTTTTTGCAAGTTTTCCACTGCAGCGAACTGTTTGCAAATTTATAACAAAAACTCGCGTATTAACATAGAAATCGTTGTACATATGTATGTACATATGTATGTACATAAGTACGTACATATGTACGCAGTGCTGTTGCTGAGTTGATTCCTAACGTTGCTGAAGTCACTGCCTCAAAACTTGCTATTCAATTGGCAGCATTGTTCTAAATGTTTATTATATTTAAATGTATGTAAATACATATATAATAAAAAGTTTACTTAGTGTCAGTGCTGCCGTTTTCTATTTTTTAGAGTAGAAAAACGTAATTTTGGGGAGTATTTTGACGTTTTGGGGAGCAGCCCCCAAATATTTACAAATTTCCTAAACTTAAGGCCGCTTAGTGGTTTAAAGAAGTAGGCATCGTATAGAGTGAGTTGGAAATTATTAGGTCAGAGGTCTGGACGTTTTTCTCAATGTCCAAGGATAGTACGCAGTCTTCGGTATTTCATGCCGCATTCTTTGCAGTCCCCAAGAACAGTGACAATATGATGGAAAATAGGTGAGAGACATTGGACCTAGTGTGCGCAAGACAGCCTTTAAACCAAGTGCATACTTCTAAACTAGACAATGGGACTTCCATTCAGCTAAATTATGTTGGTAAATATAACAAAGTTATTTTACTTTAAATACTCGTAAGTAACAAGTCACATGGGAATACATGTTGATTTGGTAACAAAGGACTCAGGTCGCGTATTTATAATTAATAATGACTGGAAGGCTTCGAGGGGCTGCTTCATTAAGCACGTAGGACGGCATACAACTTTCGGAATACCGAAAAGGCACAAATCGTTGGATGCGGTTGTAATACTACGCAATCTTATTTGGTTATGAAGAAGATTAATCTGCAGGCCTCTTTTTGTGCTTCTGTCCCATCACCGCAAGTACGGTATATGTACTCGTAGTATAGCCTAAGAGTAAAATTCCACAACAAGGTTTTCATCGCTATTCAGGCTTTCAGCGCTCTATTCAGCTATAAGTTTTATATTACGGCTTGAGCGCCAAAAGCAACAACGCCTGAAGAGCTTGTTGTGGAGTTCTACTCTAAGGGCTCTTTCCTGTACGCGTAGTGTGTTCGGACCAACAAAGGAGCTTTTCCTCCTAGAGAGAAAAAGAATTTTATTCCCAATATATATTTATCACTGCAGTCGTAACATTTAAATAATGCTGTAATAAGGCTTAGGAAATTTTTATCAAAACGTCTAGTATTTTTTAGCCCGCAACCAGTTATACCAGTCAGAGATGATTGCGAAGCTTCGATGGGATGCAAGTAGAATAGCAGACATATTTTGGAATTTGTAAGTAGTCACTTCCCGAGGCACAAACCGCTGAATTCGGTTGGAATATATAGTAAGAAGATGAAACAACTTCGGGACCACCTCCGAAATTGCAGTATATGTAATCGTAGTATAGCCTAAGTTCTGCTTCCTGCAGGCGTTGTGTTTTCGGACCAATAGAAGAGCCTTTCCCAATATGTGTAAATTCATTACAGCAGCTGAAAGTTTTAAATAATGCTGTAATATGGCTTAAGAAACATGTATCACAAGGTGAAAGGAAAAGTGTTATCGGAAATAACTCCAAGCAATGTGCTTTGGCAGTGTTCAACGCGACATCGTTTGAGTTATGCCGAATTTCCACTAGGCATTGAAATAACAAAAAATGTATGCCATTTGAAAAAATGCCACGTGGAAATGAACTTTATGACTATTTTTTTAATGTAATGACACGATTATTTGTTAATGCCCGACTTTGTCATTTGTGATTTTTGCCATTTAATGCCTAGTGGAAATCCAGCATTATTTTATAACTTTAGAGTTAAGACTCGTAAAACAAAAACTTTCAAATTTGATTTCCCAAAATTCTAATTTTTACACCGTCATGTTTAAGACATGCCGGGGACGATATGTCAAATTGGCCACAAACTCGAACCAAGAAAATACTCAATAAAAGTACAAATCTTTCATATTATGTAGGTATCCTCGCCTGGATAAAGGATTGTCGTAAGCGCCGTTTTGACGATTTTTAGTTATAAAATCAGTTATACATATATTTTGAAATTAGATCTGTCGATTGGTGTTACAGGCTAATCTAATATTCACGCACGCGGCCAATTTACTGTATAAAATTTCTCATGCACATACCACTTGTATGGGACTAACCGAAATGTCTGCGTGACATTTTGATTTGACGTTTCGCTCAATGAAATCAACTGCAAACGCACGAAAGCCAATTTCGAGTGACGCAAAAAAACAAATTCGACGGCGTGCGTACCAAAGCGCAAGCCGCGAATTTTAAATAGGTTGGCCTGATATCAGTTTTTGGATATCTCCTTTTGTCCTATAGACTAAAATTTCATCGATAATTTAGTATAAATTGAGTACATGATGCTTTCTTCTTCTGCTTCTTTAGTTTCCGGGATATTGAGCAAATAGTATCGTTAATATAAGAAGTTCGCAAACTAGTAACATTCTCCAAGACTTTGGAGAGTCTATAGTGGCGTGTTTTAGAAATTATTCAAAACTTCAAACGCGATTATATGCCTCTGTTTGCCTATTTGTCAGTTTTCAGTCGCTTTTTTTCTAGCTTTAATTCCGATTTTGAGTACTTTTTTGATTCTATTTTGCTTTTTTTTTATAGATTTTAGGTCCTTAAAATCCGTTGTCTGTTTATTAATTAAGCGTATTCAATGTAAGGGTTTGTACGACGAAGTGGTAGTTTCAAAGGCCATTTTATTCTGAAATATCTTTATAGCCGTCATTGATTCGCCACATAGCTGCTTCCTATGCTTGAGTTCCGGTCGCATGTGAAACCAACAACAAAGTTAGCTAGCAAGGATAGACGATAGCGAGTTTGGGTGTTCCTCATTGAGTTCGTTCGTTTCCCCACTCGCTAACTGTTGGCGAATCGGTGACGGCTTATGTCTCTATAAGTCCGTAGAGTATTGACAGTGATAACCAAGGAACGGATTTTATGCAAATTACCTTTTTTTCTGCTAAAGGGATAGGGTATATTCGATTAGGAATGTCCACGATTTAGCTTTCCCTGATTCCATATATACACAAGTGATTATAGCATTAAAATTTATTTTTTTTTAATATTATAAATAAATGCCCAGATTCGCAAATAGCGCTACGAAAATTAGTATGTATAGAAAAACGCAGTGTGTAATAGTGAATTACTCAAGCAAACATTAATGGTGATTTCGTTTCTCCCAAAAAATGTGGGCCTTCCACGGTGAAAAATATGTATGTTTGATGTTACACTCAACCCTGCAAAGGGGCATATTTTTGCGTTGTTGCCCTTGTCTAGCTCCTTCATTGGATAATATATTCGTTTTAAGCAACCAGGAGGTTTCAGGGCAACGATCACCCCTGACAAAGCTTCAAAGGGCGGAGAATATGGCTTTTTTGCCTTACATGAGTATGACATTTTAAGAAACGAACACAAAATTTATTTTATAGAAGCGCAGGGACCTATTGCCAAATTGGTGCTGGAAAGTTTCAAAGCCGATTTCTCAGCTAATGTATGCTTGGAGACGAAACGGGATGTGAATAAAATTGTTAAGGGCGAGGAAAAGGCCCTTATTCCTGTTAGTATGAAATTTTTAAAAGTATAGAGTTTTAAGTTTTGTTAGTTAAAAAAGTAGATATTTTTTGATTATTTTTCGGTTTTTGTCTTTTTTTTTAGTGACTTCTTTTGCCTCTTTTGCGATTTCTAGTGTCTTTTTCGATATTTTATTTCCCCTTTTACAGCCTATTTCGTTATTTTATTTTGCCTTTTTTATGGGTAAAAACCCTTTCCCTGCTGATAACTCTCGTTAGAACTTAGATTCTCAAACCGGTCATATGCTACATATACGTACATATACATATTTTATCTGTGTGTTTATAATGAAATGGTTTCGAAAAACTGTAAGCGCGAAGCGGAAAAGTGTACCTATTTTAATAAAACTAAAATATCTATGTATGAAACATATTGTATGTACGTATGTTGTTGCTGATGAAATAGCTTACTGCTGGTCTCTCTTGGTTTCACTAAATTGAAAAGTGAAGTAGTTGATTTTCAAGGAGCTTAAATAACCACTGGCATTGATTCGGTGCTGATAAGATAACAGAAAACGGGCTTAAGTAGATCAACAAATGCAAACAACAGTGTTAGAGTTTACCAATCACACATTCATACACGTGTCGCACATATGCATTTATACACACATATATATATAGGTATAGGTATGTGTTTTCATACATTCCCTATAAAAAATCTATAAACATATATTTTTAATTAATTTGCACATCCCAATTTGCGAAACGACTTCGTATCGACGTCGTAGCTTCCGACAATGTACTGGTGAACAATTTGAAAACGTGAAAACGTTCTATGCGATCACCTACGATCAGAGGATTTGGTATGACTACGGTGACCATGCGTCAACCTTGTGGTGTGCGGCTTGATGTTGTTACACAAATAGAGGGACATTTAATTTATTTAAATTTAATTTTTAATATATAAATTGATTTATATGTAAGTGCCTTTGTATAAACATCTGGCAAAAACGCCATATTTTCTTTTTAATGAAAAAAATATATAAAAAACAAATTCGAAAGGCGAAAAAATAAAATTTTCTTATTTTGATCTTTATTTTTATCTTTGGATGGCAGAAAATTGTTCATTATGCTGCTAATCGTACTGAAGGTCACATTTTCATTAATTATGAAAGCATAAAAAAAAATTTCAAAAATACGATTTCGAAAGCCCGTAATTTTTATCGGAAAACTCGCTGCATTCAGAAAAATTCCTGACAAAATTAGTTAAACTCCAGTCACCAGTATGTACGAGAACGTAAGAGATAAATATTTGAGTTTAGAAATATTTATATCTTTTCGTGTGAAATTTATCATGAAACGTTTTTCAAACAATATTCCGAAAGACTGCTAGTCAGTGTCGGACCAAAGGCTCTACACAAAGTGTCTTATAAAGCTCTTAAATATTTTATAAACTCAGTTTATCTCGGTGGGTATATCGACACCTGAGTGGAAAGATCGTCTTATCTCGGCAGCCAGTTCGAAAACGCCCTATCTATTTCCGAAATCTGTTCAACAACGCTCTACTTCAGAATTTGATTGAAGAACGCCATTTTACTGAAAAACACTTAAAAGCAAAAGAACGTGCTTTCTCAGAATTCGGTTCAAAGACGCAAATGTATTGAAAATGTGCTGAGATAGGGCGTTCATCAACCAAATTCTGAAGTAGGGCGTTGTTGAAAAGTTTTCGGAGATAGGGCGTTTTCGAACTGGCTGCCGAGATAGGTCGATCTTCCACTCAGGTGTCGATATGTAGTTAAAGTTTTTTTCCTCTCTTTGTACTGTGTAAAAATGTTAAAAATGGAGTGTAGAGAATTATAAACATAAATATGTATTTACAATCGCTTAGTGTAGCGCTTAAGGGTCAGTAGTATTGGTATATAGGTATACGATGCTAAAAGCCGGCAACAGGATATGTCAGCGCTTAAAGCAACTCGGCAGGTTGCTGAGCTCATTGGCGCGTTAAAAGTGCCTGCAAATGCTAAAATGTGTAAACATACACACACTAGGTGGATGATTGCTTGCCTTGTGTAAAATTTTCTTCGAGTTGTATGTAGCTTCCTTTCGTATGTTGCACGTTTTTGCGCGTTAAAATAAGAGCACAGGTGTGCAGTGTTTTCATGCCCATCGCTTTGCTGCTCGTCGTGGTTGTGTTTTGTTTTTTTTTTTTTTTGTATACAATTGTGTTTTGCCTTGCTACTATTTTGACTCCTTGTCAGCAATTCATGTATTTGGAATTACCATACTTTTTTCTTGTTTCTGTTATTAACCTGCCTTTGCATTATACGTTTTTTAACTTTTTAAAGACTTTGTCTGTATACATTTAAATACCTATGCATTTACGTACATATGTGTGTGCCCGTGCCTTTTAAATATGGTGTAGAATAGTACTAGTAAAGATGTCATTTGCCGCACACGATTAAGATTGGGGGTAGTTGCACCGTCAGCATGCAGTGCACTCGCGACAACGTGAACTAATTATGAAAATGTTCATGTTTGCGTTATAGTATGTTTCCACGATTCGTAATTCGCTCTCTAAGTAATTCACTAACTAATTCGTGAATTACCCTGTTTCCACGACACACATTAGTAATTTGTTGGCAGCTGTAGTTCTTGTTCTTGTTCTGCGCTATTTATTATTATTTTTGTGTACTGCAAATATCGAAGATGGAGCTAAAATTTAAGTTACCATCAACAATTTTAATTTATATAGAGAATATTTTATTAATATTATTCTATAACTAGAAAAAGTGCCAGCCATTGGGACCAGGCCGGTGAAAACTTCGACATATTTCCGATAAATATTAGAGAAGGCACCGGATCGGTCATTCGCATGGTAATTCGATCTGAATTACCTACAAATGAGGTAATTCGCTCTCAAAATTTTGTATGGCGAATTACGTAATTCGGAAGGTAATTGGCAAGGCGAATGACGATTGGGAGAGCGAATTACGAATAAGAGAGCGAATTATGAATCGTGGAAATGCCGTATTAGTTCGCTTGAGCGATGGATACTGAATGTGATAGAATGACGAACTGTGAGATCTTTTTAACGAGATGTACATACATACATTTGTATGTAGTTATAGACCAGTATGCAGCGCTCTAGAAAAGCACAAACTCCATATAAAATGACGCACAAGAAATGGCTAAGAAATTTTCTTGAGTCAAATTTCCTTAAGGCAGTACGCA